TGTGGAGTGAGCTTTTGTTGTGCAATCGCCTTCTCTTCACGCGATCGCGTCTCGTGTCGATATTTTCGAGACAGGGTTGAGCGCACAACCTTATGTTTTTTAGCCAGCGCTGTCCACGGGATCTTATCGCATGGTATCATAGAGTCTATCTCTTCAAAGGCAGATTTCATAGTCATTGTGGCGTTGAGTAATTGTACAGTGAAGTATGGGTACAAAAAGGTGGTTTGGCGCATTACGCGAATCCGCGCATTACGCGCACGGACACGGTAACAGATATTGCGAGTTGTTCATGGATCGTAACAACACCATATTGAGCCCCAAACCATTTGCTGCTTTGGCCTTGACATGCTGCTCTCATGAACTTTATCATGATTGAATTTCTCGCCAGGATATTGAAAACTCCATTCCTGGTTCTGTTCAGAGCCTCTTGCAATGCTGCACTCATCAGAGAATTTTACAGTTACTCTCTTATAGTTGAAGTAGCGCCAGTTGCTTGAGTATTTGAGGCGCAACAAGCTGGTGGCTCTATTGATCTTTGGCCGGCGCTTTGATCTGAAGTTCTTTAAACCTTGCGCAAGAAGTGCTTGGTATACTGTCTTCTTTGCAACAGTAGGGTGTGCAAAGGTGGATGGCCAGAGGTTGGCTTCTTCTAGAAGCTGACAGTATTCAATTTTTGGGTATTTATGGGCAATGCAAAGAAGCAGACGCTTCTGCTGACGTGTCAATACCGGTGGCCTACCACTGCGAGGGCGTGACTCATTGTTGTTGTGGGTGTTCCATTGGGCAAGTGTTTTCTGGATGCAGCATTGCAAACAGCCAAGTGTTGCTGCAACTTCAGAGGTCCTACAACCTGCCTCCACTGAAGCTATCACATAATCGCACTTGTGCTCTAATAATTCAGCACCAGGCCTTCAATTGGCTGAAATTTTGGTTCCAAAAGCTCTCATTTGTGTGGTGCAGTGTAGGGGTGAAGTTGTTCTCTACCTGACGCAGTTCCGTTGTTGCGTTACGCACAGGCCTTACGCAAACAGACTAAAGTCTTAGTACTGCATCATTTAATAAGAATCAGGAGGTAAGACATAGAAGTAATATGGTAGACAGCTTAGCCGAATTAGATTTTGTGAGGAGAAGTCGATATATATAACTCTAGACTAAAGTTTAGTACCATAGTTCCACTTAGGCTAACTGAGATACATCTATAAGCTCGCTCAACCACCAGGAAAACAGCAATCATTGACGCAGTCAGCCATCTAAATGCCAGCCAACGAGGCGTAGATGGCATTCAATATTTCACCCACCCTTCTCGTGTATACATCATAATTACTCTTTTGCATCTTCTTGACCATTAGACATTTGGTCAAATGTTGTTGTAAGTCCCGAAGGTGCGAGCCAGTTTGAGATAGTCCTTGCTTGATGACTGTGACAGCAACTAGACTTGTTTCGAATTCGGTGAGTTCAATTCTTCCAAGAACAATTACCGGCGTAGCATCGGGAACTGCTCTGAGTGTAGGGTGAACATGATGTCCACTCAACCTCTCATGTGTCTCATCAGGTGGTGCAGTCGAATTCCCTGGGAAGGGATAGGCGGCCGGATGTATCTGGACAGGGGTATCGCAGGTTACGTCTCCTGGCGCACTTGTTTTCGAGTACTGGATGTGTGCGGCTTCGTAGAGTGTGGAAAGGGTAGCCAATCCATCCAGCAGTGCTGCCATCACATCGTCGTTGGTGCAACAGCCTAGACATTCCCGTATCCCAGAACCGAGAAGATGGACGTTTTGGTGAAGCTGGAGGATCTCATCTAGTGGCGCGCTCTTGTGGCCTTTGGAACTGGCCAAGGTCTGAAAAATATCCTTGCCCGATTCATTACATGAACACGGCAAGTCCATCGTCTGGTCCAAAGCATACGAACGAATGTTTCCGGATATCGCGGCAGAATTTGACGGCGACAACAATCACGAAATCATCGGTACGTAGTCTGTATAAATAATGCATCGCTGAACGCAATAGGTACTAGGATTGCGGCTTTTAGGGCCGGTACCGCACCCAAATACAGACAACTCCCTGACCCGGGTGCATATTGCAGCGTCTGATCAATATATGCACAGAGGTTTCTGACCACTCAGGAGCTCAGCAGTAAGGAAAAAGACGCTATGCACCTAAGCCAGGGAGTTGACTGTACGAGCAGCAAGGCCAGCCATGAACTCAATGCTCGTTCGTAAAAACATCCCAGTAATTTTGATTGGCAGGAACAACTCCTTTCGGTGATATCAAATTGTAGATGGTCGATCGTTTGCAATGATTGGACTAAATGGTGTACACAGGCGATGGCGGATGTGGGGGTGGCAGATCTTCCGCTGCACGCCCGGGAATGGGGTTCCGAAGGGTCCACTAGCCTTCTCTTCCTGCCAATCTAGTCGCTGCCATTTCGCACCTGCCGCATTCCTGTGCATCAAGAGATCACTCTTGCATCCCAAAGGGATAATGGAAACATCTTAGTTGCTTCCGAGGGGGATGAGCGATTGGTTGGGATTATAAGCCACCCATGCACGGGGACGCGGGAGTGCCATTGTGTCGGGGAGCATGGACAGTACGCATGTGGGAAGAATTGAAAGATTGAACTGAGATTGTATTAGTTAAGCTACGGACAGTATGTATAGGTGAGTAGCTGTAAATAACGCTAGTGTGACGTGGCAGTCACTCTCATGGCAGGTGAGGTACAACAGGCACGAGCAGCCTAAACCGTGACACCTTATCATCACGAGCCTTGCTAAGGTGATAAACTGTACTTTTCCTGAAACTATACTCATTTCTAAGAACCAACCAAACCGTGCTTATGAGCTTTTGTGGCGGCGTGGGCCGCTGTCGTATCCTAATAGGTACGGTAAACGATAACGTAACTTGTAAACTCTGATTAACAGCTACTTCGTTTTGAGGATAAATTTGTACAATTTATAACGACAAATGGCCTGCTCTGGAAGCAAATGATGGCCCCTGTTTGTTAGAAGAAATCAAGTCTACATGATTCGCATTCTCTCATGTTATGGTATCAGTTGGTCCTTACGAGACCCGATTACCCTTGCTTAAACTATTCTGTACTAGCACATTCCAGGGCCAGTATTTGTCGTCATCTCCTGGCTAGATAGTAACCCAGCGCAGTATTCCATAGACCCGATAGTCCTACGTTATCGTTTACAGTAGCTATCTGTATTCTACAGCTGCCCACGCCGCAACATCTCAAAAATAGAGTCGTACCAACTCAAGAACCGTGTCTTTTTCCATACGACCCGCACACTGGAGGAGAATAATCGCTGCAAGCGCTGCACCAGAATGGTCCTTGTTCCAACCTGGGTTGGTGGACGCCGCCAGTGCCACCATCAATGCCCAGAGATTAGGCAACTGCTTCCCTGTCAGTCTTTTTGATTTCCGAGGTGAACAAGGCCGCTCGTTGCTGTTTCCGGCAAGTCCTCATCCTGGGCGACTTACCTTGCTTGTAATGTTGTTCTTCAAGGGTGACACTATCAATTTCACGCTGGACAGAGAGCTCCTCGGAGCCTCCAGAGCGCGTACAGCCTTAGCTTGGAGATCAATATGAGCTTCCACACTCTCCGATATCAACATCGCTTCTGTGGCCTTCAAGATCTCCTCTTGAAAACCTCTGCGTTCCCAAGTAGTCCATTTCGCTGCGGCACAGAACAAACTAGCAATAACCCCAGGAAATCTCCTATTACGGCTCAAGCGTTGCTCATTACAGAGAAATGATGCTTCCCCAAATTGTTGACCGTAGTATGTACGAACGAGGTCGTCGAAAGTCTCGAAACCCATGGTTTCTAGGTACATTATAATTGATCCAACGCGCTCGTCCACATCCATGCCCGCCGAATTATCAATAAGACGCAACGCATCATCGCAGGAGATAGGCGTCGCAGTGTGTGGAAGGGTTGAGAGTATTGATTGGTCTGTATTGCTATGGCGAGGATCGATCGGGACTATATAGTAGAAGGGGATAGCAGTGAAGCAAACCGAACTAACCGAATGAGCTGGACTATCAGTGCAGCGGGCCGTTGACAAACACTGCAACGGGCCGCTGGTAGACACTGCAATGGACCGCTAGCTAACACAGTGTCTACATTATGTAATGTCGTGATGCTTGGCGGACCACCTTGCTGGTCACGCTGCCGTACGCCTGTCCAGGGTACCTGTTGCATTAAGTTGGTAATGTTGCTAGACTCCCGGGAACCAATATCGGTACTCAGGTGAGACGCGAGGTTGTCGTCGTTTCCAAGTGCGAAAGAAACAGGTTCGCCGTTGGTCAAATTAGATGAAGTGTGTTGGGCTACCATTTTATCAATTTTCGTCAGAATGGCCGCGCTCCGATCACGTACCATCTGTTGCACCATTTCCTGGTTGCGGATGCTCTTTTTCTTGAACGCAGCCTACGTCTAGTGGCAAGAAAACTTGTTGCCTGTCATTTTCTGTTCTATTGCTTCTGTCTCGCTTTTCCGAAAGGACAGAGCTCGAGAATTCAGAAACCTCTTGTTCGACACCTTTCTTTGTCGCTGTGCTACCGCGAGAGGACGAGGTACCGTTTGTAGGAGAAGCACGTGTCTTTACTGGCGACTCGACAGAAGGGAAGACCGTAATGAATCTGGCCTCTGTATAGGCGATCCTGGGCTTTCTTCACCACCATCTTGGTAGTCGTTCTCCCTTGATTGAAGCTTTTTCTCGCAATTGTCAAGCTTTGCCTGAAGGTCTGCCATTCTAACTTTCACGCGTTGCCCTGTTAATCGTCAACATTTTCTTCGAGATTTAAAGTGCAAACACTTACGGTAAGTCCTTTGCGTGACACGATTTTGGATGCGCTTCTTCATCGCGCGATCTTTGACGGTAGTCCAGCCATCATGACCATTCATTTCTTCAACACGTGGTAGTGAATACGGTGGTGGACTGCACTCCGAGTTAGTGGCGGCTCCGTAACTGCAACGCATGTCGAAGGCGCAAGAGCACAGGACATGGAGGTTTGGCGCTACTCAACACATTAGCAGCAAACCACCACCATTATAGCCTCTTGCTCCTGTCAAATTTTCAAATGTGCCGGCACTACTGTACATAGGCATGCACCCATCATGGGCGGGGCACTCTTCAGTTGCTATTCCATGCAGGTTCGTGTAATTCCTACACACCGCCAGCGCTCTACGAATTTGACTAGATGTCAGAATCCCCCGGAGTGGATGCAGGTTAGGGCCGGGTCTTTTAAAAACTATCCGTTACCCCGCTTTGCTCCATCTTATGCATACGCACAGCGACAATGTTTTGCCCATTCCTTAAACCTAAGAATGCAACAGGATAGTTGTGTTTTGTCTCGGCCTGCAGCCGTTGTGGCGAAGTATTACCCTTTGCTTTTTCTTCGACAGGTCCTTCCTCTTGTTTAGACAACTATCCGCTTGTCTGTCGTTCTCCGCTCTCTTGTGATGGGGTTCGGGTGACACATTCAGGATCATCGAAGCGTTGCTAAGTACCAAAGCCGCAGGAAGTGTAACAGTCAGAGACACTCTTGTCGCTTTGGCGAATCTTCTGACGAACGAGCCTATTTGTCGCCTGTTTGTCAAAGAAAGATTATGTTGCAGTAGATGCAATAGATGAAGGTGTAACCGCGCAGGGCAGTTGGTCAGGGGGGAAAAATGCGCGAAGCAGTAGAATCAGTAAATATTGTGTTCTGTTGTTGTTCTTGTTCTGTGATTGTCTCTCACCCGGCAGTCATCAGGGTCTGTTTACATGACGTATCTGTCGTGCAGCCAGAAAGTGCTGTTGGAACAGGCAAGAGCACTGCACCAGCACACGTGGCAGACGTGACCTCTTGACTCCATAAACCGTCACAGTATCACAGGTACCTATGGTGTCGTATACAGAGCCCGCGATCTCGACAACTATGGCCGCATAGTCGCACTGAAGAAGATACGTCTCGAAGCCGAAGACGAGGGCGTACCCAGCACAGCCATCCGCGAGATTTCGTTACTTAGGGAGATGAAGCACCCTAATATTATGAGACTATTAAATACTGTGCACGCCGACGGCCACAAGCTCTATCTCTTGTGCGAGTTCCTCGATCACGACCTCAAGAAGTACATGGAAGCACTGCCTGTTATAGGCGTTGTCGAAAGACCAGCCCAACCCCGTGACTTGCCGCGCGTTTCTGTGCACGGACATATTAGTAACGTACTGTACAAGCGAGTCGCGCACCCCACCAACTTTGCCCACCTCTTTGAGCGTATAACTCAACCACAATATAAAGCAGTATATAGATATCAATATGGTAGATTAAGCAGTGTCTACATTATCCTTTTTACATGTCCGTGAGTTGTGCCCAGGCTCTCTGCACTTTGTACAGCGTGCCAGAG